ATAAAAATTTATAATTAATATTATTTCATGATAAATTTAAATTAAAAATAATAATAAATATTAACATTAATTATAAAAAAATATTATCATATCACTAAAATGTCTGGAGATATGGTTTGCATCCAATCGCAGCAGCATTTCACTTTCCATTATAACTGTAGATAAAAAAAATATAATTAGTACAAAAATAATTAATTAATAAATTTAAATAAACAATAATTATATAAATATTATTTTAATAAAAAAAAATAATATTTATGTAATTATATTAATATAAAATATAACAACTATTTTAAAAAATACTAACTAAAAATAAATTTCTTACCACTAATAAGAAATTTAAAACTCAAATAGTTGGAGAATTTGAGTTATATAAGATAGGAGAAGATGATTTTGGTGTGAAGAATGAGGGGGTTTGAAGGGTTTATATAGGGGAGGAGGAGGGGTAGTTGGGGAAAAACGGATGGGTATTTATGACATTTAATGAAAGGCGCGTCCTCGGTGACGCGCCTTACCCCCGTGGCATCCGACTCAGCAGAACCCCGTGAAAGCGCATCCCCGGGGATGCGCCTTACACGCGTGGCATCCCAGTCAGCATAAACCCAGGTAAAACGCGTCCCCAGAGATACGCCTTTGTGTCACCTCAGCCGAAATGGTGCTACTTCGAAAAATATTAGTCAAAGGGTGTTAGAAAGGGAGAATTTCGGCGAAAATGTGTCAGTTTAGTCAAATCGTCACCAATAGCGGCGTCTAGGTTTGAGGGGTGGATTGGTCTTTGTATGTTAGATGAGAGAGAGAGAAGCTTGTGGTTTTCTGGAAAAAAAAGACTAATAAAATAAAAAATTGCTTTATGTTAGAAATATCCAGCTGGATAAAAAAAGTCCATGTCGATTCGCTGTTTAACGACCGAGTGACTTTATTTTTCAATGTGATCAACGTATTGTAAGTTTTGATACTTGGGTGACTAAATGCAAAATCTGATGGATTCATCAGATTTAAGATTTGTCACGGCTTTCCATTTACTCACTCACTCCGACATTCTTTGGCCATTTCAGTTTTGCTGGTTCTTGTAAAAAGGCTTCAAATTGAGCCTGTATATATTTGCAGTTATTTTCATGTGAGGCGTCGAGAAGCTTGAAAATGGTTGGGTGATCACGATAAATGATTTATTTATCTAAGGTAATGCTTTAAGAGTATTTGTGAGTAAGACGTTGTCTGTTCTACTGCTGGGTAAGACCAACTAGGGCACTAGTAAGACATTGTGTAGGCAGATTTGATGTTTGAGTGGCATTTTCTCCAAGGCAGTCTCTGATTATATTATATTGAAACCTATTAATATGAGTTTGTGTAGGTAGGCTAGGGACCTAATTTCTAATCACCTGGCCATTGGGAGTTTAGGTCTTCAGCAAAATCTTCTAATTTTCGTCAATTCCATTTACTTTATGGGATTGAATTGAATCTCAAGTGTGTCAAACATTTTGAAAGTAATGGAAGGCACCTAGATGCATATACATGGACAAATGGTCTTCAGTAAAATCTTTTTGATTTTCGTCTTCTGAACATAAATAACACATTCGTACGTTTTTATTTTATTTAGAGTTTTGATTTCATATATTTTTTGGGTATGTTAAGTGGACAAATTTTGAACGAAAATGCTAAGAATGCTAATGAATTGGCTATGATTTTAGAATAAAAAAGTAAATGGATTTAAGTTTTAGTTTTTAAAATATATGAGCTAAATCTGAAATCATGCCAAACAACAAGGACTGCAACGCATTTTAACCCGAAAGAAGGGGCACATGATTAGCTGACAAGTAGGGCTGTAAATGAGACGAGACAGATCGCGAGCTACTCGAAATCGACTCGATCAAGGCTCGATAAATACTCGAATCGAATGGACTCGACTCGAGCTCGAGCTCGACTCGAGTTCTTAACGAGCCGAAACGAGCTACTCGATACTCGACTTGAAAAGCACGTGAGCAGCTCGAAAAAAATGTTATATTACAATTTTAGATTTTTTAAAATTATATTATTAAAAATATATTAAAAATACACTATTGATAATTATAAAATTTAAAAATTCTATAATACAACTATCTCAAATTTTAATTTTTTTAATTAAGCAAGCCAAGTCCAATTGTTACATTGTATACTACTAAAAGAAAAATAAAAGTCCATTTAATTAATCACATGTTAGATTACACCCTAAACCTAAACCCTAAACTATAAATTATAAACTATAAACCCTAAATATCAAACCCTAAACCCTAAACCCTAAGCACTAATCCCTAAGCATTAAACTCGATTATGTGATAGGGTACTAAAAGAAAAATAAAAGTTCGTTTAATTAAGCACATGTTAGATTAAACCCCAAACCTTAAACCTAAACCTAAACCCTAAATACTAAACTCTAAATCTTAAACCCTAAACCCTAATATTAAACCCTAAACTCTTAATATGATTATGTGATAGAGGTTAAGTTATGCAGATGATAATAGTGCATTACATACAGTGATGGATTGGATCTTGATAAAAAAAATTGGGGACATACTTAATATTTTTAAAAATTTTAGAAATATAAATTAGATTTTTTACAAATTTTTAGTCTTGATGAGATTTAAAAAACTTAAAAGGGGATTTAATTAAAAATATTTAAAAAATTTAAATTTAATGAGAATTTTAAAAGGAACAAGTTACCCTTTTCGGAAGATAGAATGTTATATAGTTAGGAACATCAAAAAAATCAGTACCCAACGGATTTGATCCGATCTAATAAGATCATACTTTTTTATTTAAAATTTGGACTTCGTGTTGGATTAAGTTAAAGTTTAAGAAAAGCCTGTACTACTCTATGATAATTATGAAAAAAAAACACTTCTTTATGTATTAATATATTACTAGTTGTATAGCATATTTGAATATTATGTCAAATCTATAATTAAATATATCTAGATCGGCACACATGCTAACGTATTGATTTTATAAAAAAAATATCAATTAAATTCTTATTTTCGTTAAAATCACACTAATTTAAATATTAAAAAATGGCAAAACTTAGACCTTAGACCATCTTTGGCAATTACCTAACGGTAGAGCCTCGGTCGTCTGACTCGAGAACACGCACATAAAATTCCAGAGTTAGTTCCATTGATTTATCAAAGATAACTTGATGGGAGTTGAATATGTAGAGGTATTACTGAGCTTGCTTCTGCCTTTTGATTCGCTCAAGTGCACCCAGTAGTCCCTTCCCACCCTTGTCTTTGGCAGCAAAGATCTCATACATGCCAAGTTTTTCATGGTTTGGAACAGCTTTAGTTGCTTGATCATAGACCTTCATAGCTCGCTTTGCTAGCCCAAAATCCTCCTCCAACTTGGCATACTGAAGATAAAGGGGTTTTACTGCATCAGAAGTTGCCGTTTCAACGGCATGCTCAAACAGTTCCCTTGCTCGTTCCAGTTTTGACTTCCCATATATCCCACATCGGTAGGTTTAAGGCGAGGAGACTCCTTGACTCTATTATAAAAGGCGAGGGGATACAAATGTTTAAGTCATCTTTGCGCTTAGTTGGGGCAATGACGCAGCTCATAAGGTTTGAACCGAGGCGCGTCGATTGTTAGTTCAAATTATTTCTAAACCCTCTCTTAGCTCTCGAATTTTTTTTGAGTTTGAGTCTTATTGAGCTCGAGTATCGAGCTTGAATTGAGTTTGAGTATCGAGCTCTCGAAATTTTTTTAAGTTTGAATTTTTTTGAGTTTGAGTCGAGTACAGTAATATTTAAGCTCGACTCGTTTACATCCCTATTGACAAGGAAGCCCGAGTTAAATTTAATTAGGTCATTGATTAGTCGGATTAGGGGTATATTAAAACTCTGATAAATGTAAAGTCAGCTTAAGATGTTAGATTCTGTCTTGCAAATTAAGAGAATATATTCAATTTTCTATGATAAATATGAAGAAAAATCATCTCAGTTACTACTTAAGGGAAAATTTAAAAATATTAATTATGCCATTTTAATGTAGAGTTTAAAAAAATTAATGTTAATATATACATACATACGGATGGTTTTTTTCCCCTTTCTTTAGATGTAGTGTGAAAGAAAAGCCGACTTTGACAATATGATTACCTAATTCTCTTGAATTTCTCAAATGTGAATCTTCTCCCATGATTAGAATCGGTGAATTTTAAATTCCGACAAAACAGGCAAGCAATTTGTTTGTTTATGGATTACACGATCAGACATGATCTTTCATTGCATGTTAATTTATGGTTTCATTTAGATAAATTCATTTATAATTCAAATTAATTATTGTTTAATTAATAAAAATACTTTTACTAAAAGTCAAAAATAGATTTTAATAGAACAAATTTTAATATATGGCAAATTAAAAAGTAGGTTTCGAAAGCATATGAATGAAATCTGGACTGAATTTGGGTTATAAAAATAGAAATAGAAATTAAGCACCGTATTCTTTAACTTTCTCTTCAAAAATCATAAATTAACATGGGCTGCCTATAGGTAGTGGGAAAACATCATTGGGAGATCAAAGCATTTTATTAAAAAAAATTAATCCAGCCTGTTATGTGTTATATTAAATGATTTAGACATTATTGAGGGTGATCGATTACTATAAAAGGGGAAGGTGTAGCTGCAAATATCACCACCAACCAATACTTCTTACATCTATTTTCAGGTTTTAGAGTTTAAGTTGTAGCAATGGGACAGCCAGGGCTGGTTTATGCCTTGGGATTTTGTCTCTTAATTTCGACTGTGGTAGCCACCTCTACCCCTTACAAGTATGCATCTCCTCCACCACCACCTTATCATTACAAGTCTCCCCCTCCTCCGGTGAAAACTCCAAATCCACACTACCCTTATAAATCTCCACCACCGCCCGAACACTCACCACCTCCTCCACATTACATTTACAAATCTCCTCCACCCCTGGTTCACTCTCCTCCTCCACCGTATGTCTATAAATCTCCACCACCACCCTATGTCTATAAGTCTCCACCACCTCTAGTCCACTCTCCACCTCCTCCTTATATCTATAAGTCTCCACCACCTCCAGTCCACTCTCCACCTCCCCCTTACATTTACAAATCCCCACCACCTCCAGTCCACTCACCGCCTCCTCCATACATTTACAAGTCACCTCCTCCACCAGTCCACTCCCCACCACCTCCTTATATTTATAAGTCTCCACCACCTCCAGTTCACTCACCTCCTCCTCCCTATATTTACAAGTCTCCACCACCTCCAGTTCACTCCCCACCTCCTCCCTACATTTACAAGTCTCCTCCACCACCAGTCCACTCCCCACCTCCTCCCTATGTTTACAAGTCTCCTCCACCACCTCCCTATATTTACAAGTCTCCTCCACCTCCAGTGCACTCGCCACCTCCTCCCTACATTTACAAGTCTCCTCCACCGCCAGTTCACTCCCCGCCTCCTTATGTTTACAAGTCTCCTCCACCTCCAGTGCACTCACCACCTCCTCCCTACATTTACAAATCTCCTCCACCACCAGTCCACTCCCCGCCTCCTCCCTATATTTACAAATCTCCACCACCGGTACACTCCCCACCTCCTCCTTATGCCTACAAGTCCCCTACACATCCTTCACATCCCAAACCTTATCCCCATCCGCAACCCTCTCATCCTAAACCCTATCCCTCACATCCCAAGGCTCCTTCATCGCCACACCCAAAGTATCTTTACAAATCTCCACCACCTCCAAAGATTTATTAAGCCGATGCTTTCTCTCTTCGACCGTTTTACAACGTTTTTCATGAATTTGTTTGACTTTCAATTTATCATTAAGAAGAATAAGAGAGCTTGAAGATGTGTATCGTTTGTTGATTTTTTCTTTTCAAATTGTGTTGTATCTTTCTTGTACTTTAAGCAATAAAGTATAATAAATGATTAATACCATGAGCATAATTTTTGTTTTCTTCATGTCGAGTATTAGTGCTCAACCATAGTACCTCAATAAAAATATAACACAGAAGGCAAGAGTTCGTGAGTATTCAAACTGGAGAATGAACAACCGCATCTCGATTTTGTGACCTTTTCTCAATTGAAACGAAGAAGATGATATATTGGCTTAAGAACTCCTGTATACCAATTTGCTTGATGTATACTTATGCACCAAACACTTTGCCTTGCGAAGCCACTTACATTTTTGCATTTATCAACTTTCACCAATATCATGTGGCTTGCTTGGCTTATTATTACAGTCTAGGAATGCATTTAAACATTAGAAATGGATAAAAAAAAGATTGTACACTGAGTTGAGAATTACTAGAAGGATTTCTGTTAGCAAGAGTCCATGAAGTGGTCAGACCTTGCTAGGATTTTGTTCTTCTCCCATTCTCTTTAGCAGTCTCTGCTTGGCCATTTGAAAAGAATGCTCTAGGTTCGTCAACCGCATAATTGTAGACAACATTAGCGTTTCTAAATTTGTTAGTAGAAAAAGTTGATGCTTGCTTTTGGTTGGTTACATTACATACCTCTTGTTGAGTAAATCTGTTATGGGTGAATAATCCGTCGAGCAGATTGAAACTAGCAGTGGTCATGCTCTCTTTCTGCCTACAATATCATGTTACTTCATCCCTTTAGCTATTCATGTTCCCAATTCTCTTTCAAAGAAAGATAAATTGCAATACTTTGAGACAACTCATTGTGAACTTACCAATTTAACTAGTGTTTCAAAGCTTTTCGTGTTTATAGATGTCGACTCGATTCCCATTTCTAACAAAATCCTGTAAAAGCAAATTGCTTAAACTGAGGTTTGAATCTTAAGATTTATCTGCGATTTCAAAGTAAAGGTTCATCTCAACATACCTGCCTACAGTATGGGTAAGAAACTGATTTCTAGCAACCAGTTTGTCATGTTCTTCACAAGACATTTCCACCATTCTGCAACCCTTTTTTCCCATGAAATTAGTTAAAAAAGCTCTCAACTCAGTGCTACCAATCAGTAAATTGCATTAAAATTCCAAGGATTTGATTTCCATTTACCTCAGATTCAAAGCTTTGTAAGAAGTTTGAGCATCTGGGTTCATCCCTCACCCGAACTTTCTCGAAAACAAAAGGAAGATCTTTCCACCCATTTTTGCAACTTTCAGGTCCAAACATTGGAGGAGTGCAGAGAACATCCATCTCCTCCGGCAAAACCTGCAAAAAAAAAAAAAAACCCACCATTTTCAAGCTGGACAAAAGAAATATGACCAAGGATTGAAGGAAAAAGCATAGTATCACACTCATAGTCACATGGATCGCGGTACGCTCCGGTACGGAAACGTGGAACGAGATCACAATTCGTTAGGTCTCTAAAATTCGATACGAGAGGGGTAGACTCATTTCGGATCGCTCCAGTACGATGTACCATATAAATTGGTACGATGTATCAGTTTCTTAGGTTGCTATTTTTCTACATCAAATTTTATAACTTCAAGACTTCAAATATCTTAAGATTAACTTTAATACTATAGATTTCATTCAGTAACTTCAATTCTTCAAAGTTGAAGGATTAAATTTATAAAATTGAAGGACTAAATTTATATTTAAACCAATATCTTAAATAGTAAAAATACAACAGTAAAAAGAATTGGTCTTTACTTGGGTTTATGAAATATTAACTTTTCTTTTTTTTTTCTCACACTTCAACGCTTCCTCATCTTTCTTTCTTTTCCTTCTCTAAAATGTCAGTCCATCTTCCTTTCTTTTTCTTTACCAAATTACCTATCAAAAAAATTTGTCGACTCTACCGCTGACTGACAAGATCAACCCTTCCACCGTCTTTGTTACTGTCCCTTCTCCTACTAAATCTTTATCCCTATATTTGTTTCTTTGTTTTTGTTGTGGTGGGCTTTTGTTTCCTTTGCTTCTGCTGTGAGAGATTTTGTTTTCTTTGGTTTGTTGTGGTGGGTTTCTTCTTTCTTTGGTTTGCTTTCATGGGGTTTATGCTTCCATTATTTTCGTTATGAGTTTTTGGTACACTAATTTTACTGTTTCGGTACGCGAACGAACTGCGAATTGGAACGGACGAACTGAAACGAGATTCATGGGGTGAAACACGTTCGTACCGCGTTTTGGATCGCAACGTACAGTACGTAGATCGTGGGCTATTGAGCGATATATGTAACTATGATCACACTTGCAATAGAACGTTTCTGGGGTGCTCTTTGACCGAAAGCACATCGTCGAACAGTGTCCGGCGTTTAAAGGAATGTAAAGGCATTGACCGGAGCACTTCCGATAGCGACAGAATTGACGTGGCTATCAGCATCACATCATTATCTGCTTCAAGAAATGCAATTACGTCCCTAAAAATTGCAAAAAAAGAAAAAAAGGGTTTTACAAAAATCAATATCCGTTTATATAGATATAAAAGAAAGTTGGGCGGATAAAATCTACCTGAAGAAGGAAATACCCAATTGATGGCAGATGTGGGAATAACCAGTTTGAGAAGTAGCCCTCAGAGTATGGCCTTGTTTGATCATTGTCTTGGCCAGGAACTGCCCAAATGTGCCGAAACCCACTTTGCCTACTTTCAGAGCTTGTTGAGGCAAGCAAGTAGAAGAAGAAGACATGGTTAACCAAAACTCGGTAAAGAAAGATGTTTCAGTGTCTTAATAAGGAAAAAAAAAGATGCTGGTACCGAAAACCATTTGTGGAGCATCTTTTTTCTATAAGTAGCGTATAAAATGCTGATGGTAATTTATATTAATCACCAATTAACTATTATTTTTTTATTTTAATTATTAATTATTAATTTTAATAAAATATATAAATATTAAAAATTATGTATAATTATGTAAATACTTTTAAGAGTCCCATCAATTCTTCCATATTCAATCATCCTATTACAGTTGTTGGAGTTTTAACTCACGACCTTAAGAAATAATAACGATTTTTTAACCATTGAAATAAGATGGTTCGTGCAAAATAAAACAAAATATGATCATTGATATAAATTATCCATTAATTAATAGGTTATATATATATATATATAATGATCTTATGTCATATTAATACTTTATGAAATGAAATGAATATTATATATATAAATATAAACAAAATTTATGCACAAATTAAATTATTTTAGTGATTAAAAAATAGTATTATTCTTAGTCATTTCAGGTTTGAGAATGAGGTTTAATTATACTTCTTAGATTTATCCTATTTTTTTTTTTAAATTCTTTTGACAATTTGACGAGTTACGGGAATCAAACATTCAACAACATTTGTTGCTGCTATAATTTATATTTGATGGTGTGTACGTCTATACACTAACAATAAAACTATTCTAACATCTTTAAGATTTATATTTTAACCATATAATTCACTGTCGCGATGGCGACGAGCAAATTGTTGGGGGTGATTTAGCTTCGACAGGTGATCTTACGCAAAAATACAAAGACTAGTTTCGTATAAATCGATAAAACAAAACAAGAAAGCATAAATCATTAATATAAATTAAAGTTGATTGAGAACATAATCAAACCCCAACCCTAAGTAATCACTAGGGTTTACTGAAAACCAAGTAGTGATTGCTTTAGGTAGTAATGGCTAGCCTTTCTCTTATTACATCAACAACAAGCATATGCATCGATATTAGACAAACCAAATGACTGTAAGGCAAGTAAAGGAAATGCTAATGTAGTAATATGCTGTCGCACGGGATCTAGATGGTGGAGGAGGAGACCTGGAAGTTTGAGGAGGTGGAGGTGATGACAAAGGCGACGACCTTTTAATGGGGGAAGACCAGAGTTTACTTGTAATATGGGGGAGGTGGTGGTGAATTGTACATGTATGGAGGTGGTGGCGGTGACGTGTAAACATATGGAGGTGGAGGAGGAGACTTATACATGTATGGAGGAGGAGGTGGTGACTCATAAACATATGGAGGAGGTGGAGGTGACTTGTAGACATATGGAGGAGGAGGAGACTTGTAAACATATGGAGGAGGAGGAGGTGACTCGTAGACGTATGGAGGAGGTGGTGGTGACTTGTACTCATATGGAGGGGGAGGAGGAGATTTGTAGACATAAGGAGGAGGAGGAGGTGACTTGTACTCATATGGAGGGGGAGGAGGTGATTTGTAAACATAAGGAGGAGGTGGAGGTGACTTGTAGACATATGGAGGAGGAGGAGGTGACTTGTAAACATATGGAGGAGGAGGAGGTGACTTGTAGACGTATGGAGGAGGTGGTGGTGACTTATACTCATATGGAGGGGGAGGAGGTGATTTGTAGACATAAGGAGGAGGAGGAGGTGACTTGTACTCATATGGAGGGGGAGGAGGTGATTTGTAAACATAAGGAGGAGGAGGAGGTGACTTGTACTCATATGGAGGTGGAGGAGGAGACTTGTAGACGTATGGAGGGGGAGGAGGTGATTTGTAAACATACGGAGGAGGTGGAGGTGACTTGTACTTATATGGAGGTGGAGGAGGTGATTTGTAAACATAAGGAGGAGGAGGTGGTGACTTATACTCGTATGGAGGTGGTGGTGGAGAGTTGTACACGTACGGAGGAGGTGGTGGAGACTTGTACTCATATGGAGGCGGAGGCGGAGAGCTATAAACGTACGGAGGAGGTGGTGGAGACTTGTACTCATATGGCGGAGGCGATGGTGATTTGTAAACATATGGAGGAGGTGGAGGTGACGCATAATTGTCAAGCGGTGGAGCACCATAAGGGTCAACGTCGGCAGCTACATTGTTGATTATCAAGCACAATGCCAAAGCACATGCAAAGTGAGGCCAAAACTTGGCCATTGAGGGCGGAACGAGGCACTTAAAACTTCCACTACTTTGCACTTCTATATCATACAAATCAAGGACTATTGCTATTACTATTTTGTTCAATAAAATGGGCAGCTCGCTACATTTTATAGTGAGATCTCCTACGTCCAAATGAATTATAAAGTGACGTACCAAACTTCATGACCCGATCCATCAATTAGTTTATTTCCATAAGCACGTAATGTTATGTTATTTATTGAGGAATAGATGTGACATCCCACTTGCTCTGGTAAGACTTTTGTATATTAACCTTGAAGTAGTCACACAATTTTACTTGAACAATTCTCGGCCAGCTTATTCCACAAGGAAACCTACTTTAATTTTCATTCTATATAATAGATTATTTTCTGATTATTAATTCATTTATGTTTTATAATAATTAATTCTGATTATAATATGCTCGAATATATATTATTAATAATTTGTTGTTAGTTCTCTCCTAGACCTGGTCAAAATGTAAAAACAAAAATGTCAATTAGTTTAATTTAAAATAATTACTATTTAAGATTGTAAAATAATTCATGACTGAAGCAGTACGAGTGTTCAGGCTGACTTGGTTAACAAAAAATTTATTTTAATTAATATTTTTTATTTAAATAAATTTTATCATACAAGATAAAGTAGAGTAGACTTGTTCCCGTTTTGCTGAGCCACTAATGGAATAAAAAATATTTGCAGAATTCAACTAATTACAGTCCAAATAATTTTAAGTTGTATTTTAGCTTTATAAATATTAAAAATAAATTATTAAATATTTTTTATTTTTTGATAATAATTTGGTATATTAGTGATAGTGAAAACTTTTAATTCTAAGAGTGAAATTAAAACACGATTAAATGTTTTGAGTTATAAATAAAAAATAAAATACACTTATAGTATTTTTAAATAATGTGAGGTAATTATAAGATAATATTTGTTCATAATGTTTATTAATCATTAGGTCTGTAAACGAACCGAATGAACACGGACGAGGGTATAGTCATGTTCGTTCGTTTAACTTTAACCGAACAAATGAATGAATACGAACATAAATGAACAAAAAATTTCTTGTTAATGTTCGTTCATTAAGGAATGTAGTTTGTTCGTGTTCGTTCATTTAAATGATAAACGAACACAAATGAACGAACATAAACGAACGGATGTAAGCGAACATAAACGAAAGTAAACGAACACAAACGAACGAACGTAAACAAACACAATAAATGAACATAAATGAAAATATTTTTTTTCTTTCCTAATAATTTTAGGATTATATTTTATTTAATTGTTTTGACCTTTTTTATTTTTATTTAAAATTAATTGAATTTTAAAATATTTATGGGTATCATATTAAAATTTATTGGGTTTTAATATTTTAAATAGGTATAGAGAGATTGGGCTAAACATAAATGAACACACATAAACGAGCATAAATGAACGAACATATTACCGAATGTTCACGAACGTAAATAAACGAACGAGCCCTCTATTTGTATTCGTTCATTTAATTAAACGAACACAAAATCTTGTTCATGTTCGTTCGATTAATAAATAAACGAACATAACCGAACTTTCCGTCGAACGGTTCGTTGAACGTTCGGTTCGTTTACAAGCCTATTAATCATTGATAATATACATACACTTTACAAACATAACTGTTCGAATTCATATCCTTTAAAAAATAATATTTTTATCAAGAGACAATTCAATAAGTTTATAGATTTATTTTTAAAAAATCTCTTTAAATAAATGATCTTAATTTATCTTTATTTAGAAAAGCAATGTACCAAATGTTATTCTATGTATAAATATTTTTTAATCATGTCTAGTAAATTTAGAAAACTCTGTACGAAATTATATACGGAATAGCTAAGCACATCTTGATTTATTTAATTTTTGAGATACAATTCATTGACTCTTGCTAATTGATCGGTTCAACTGACCGGCTAACCGCGTTTCCTATTATTATTGATTTTTATAGGTCACATCTTACTTCAATTGTGGAATTAGTATTCTTATTTTTAATTTTATCAAAAGTTAAAGATTCTAACAAATCACTAATTAATCGATTTCGGTGGTTAAAAATTTTTAGGGTTCGAACATTGAGTATGTTGGAGTATAAACATTTATTATAAAAAACGAGAAATCTTTAAATATAGACTACCTTGAATTATTTATCAAAAAATTAATATTGAATTAAATAGCTTAAAAAACTTAAATATTTTATTTGATCATTTAAAAAAATTAAACTCGTATTTGAGCAGTTCAAAAATATTAAACTCTATAATTGTTTTTAAAATGTTAAATTCATATATCACCATATAACTCTTAAAATTCAATACCTTATTTAAAGGTTTAACCTTTAATAAATCTAATCTCTATAAGTTATAAATTTACTTATCTCAACGATAAAAAGGAATATTATTTTTTCTAAAGATTCTGAATTCGAGCATTTATGTCTACAAGATGTGTGTGTACTATCAATAAATAATAAATTTAAAAAAATTAAAACATATATTATCTTGTAATCATTTCAAACTATTGAAAAAATTGATAACTCCGCTAATTTGTGTTGTTATGAGTTGATAATATGACAATAATTTAAAAAATAAATGTTATACAAATAAATAAATATGTTAAAATTGATACAATATATTATTAGATTATAAAATACTATAATATGAAACTACACAAGTAGACGGACATACAAATTGTCACGGTGGAAGAAAAAGTCTAGAGATTGGTTCAAACTTGCTTATAATCATTTATATTTGGTTGTTCATCTGACCAATTTAACTAAATTTAAAGCCTGATATTAATTGTTGAGTAACATTTCATATTTGATTTAAAACTTTACTTAATAAAGTGAAAAGGAAATAAAATTAAGAAAGCATTTATTTGTTTAAATAATTTAGGAAAAATTTTAAAAAAAAAAATTGAGGAAAAGAAAATATATTTTTTATCAGTTTAGAATGATTACAAGATAGTATATGTTTTAAAGATTCTTAATAATTTGACAATAAAAACACAACATTTTTCGATATATGGTACTTGAATCTGAAACCTCCAGAGATCACAATAATTTTTTATTCGTTAAGATAATTTGATTTGAGAAAAAAGACAAATTTAATGTCGCTTGTTAGAATATAAGTTTACTAAATCTTTCATCCGGTACTCCGTCGGTCCATCTCTTTATCATTTCATGGCATAATCGCAACTCTGCCCGCAATGGTACATAGACTATCCATGACCGCAATGCAACGACCATCTCAAACACTAAGCTTGGGGTGGAAATCGGAGCTTACAAATGGTGCAGTAAATTCATCTAAACACACCATTCTGATTCGTTCGGGTATCGCCGGATTATCGAGCGGAAACCACCCGGTGTGACCTGTTTCTGCTCTGGCAGCTAAAATGGCATCTTTGATGGCGAAGAAAACAGATGAAGCCATGAAAAACGGAGGCTCGCCAACAGCTTTTGATGAATGAATGACTTTTACATTTGGATGACCCTGCACATCAGTCCATAAACATAAAAAAATCAAATCATATAGAATCAGAAGAACAACTTTTTCAAATCAACTGTATTACCTTCAAGAGAGAAACATTAAACTTGAATGGGATATCATTTAGAGAAGGAATTTTGTAAGTTCCAGGTCCACATGTGTACAAACAGCCCGGTTGAATCCATTTAAGAGATGCATCGCCCCACTTGAGCTCTTCCAAGGCAACCCATCCAAGGCCTTGGATAAACGCGCCTTCAACCTGTGTTAAAAATACAAGAAAAGCTAATGTGAATACACATTTTAACTCGAAAATAATCGAGCTGGGGAATGCACCTGGCCAACATCTATTGCTGGATTGAGAGAGTATCCTAGATCCATGAAAACATTTGCCGCTCTCGTGTGGAAATCTCCGGTCAATGTATCGATTTCTACTTCAGCGAATGTAGCCCCGTAGGTATAATAACTGAATGGCGTTCCTTTACTGTTGCTCCAATCAAAGCCGATATCAGGTGTGATGTAAAATCCATGGGCAGAAAGATCTATTCGCTCCAGATAACATGCGGTGAGCAGCTCGGCGAAAGAAGTATAATTACGCTGCGAAGCAATCGGTTCCATCCTTGCCTTTATCTGCTCACATGCATCCAAAGTTGCAGCTGCATACATATCAGAACTAACAGAAGCTTCTGTTGGAGCAGCATTAGGAACCTTGTCAACTTGTATCTGATATAAAGACCGAGCCGAGAGGGATATTGAAGGCAGATGCTGCAACTTGAGCAACTTTTGTGTGTAAACCTTTCCCCATCTCGACGCCACCATGTGTAACTAAAACAGTTCCATCAGTGTAGACATTAACAAGAGCTCCCGCCTACATGCATGTGTTCATGGATAAAGTTAATGTATTAGCTTTATTTGTATCTTGACAAGCAACAGAAATACATGCATCTTTTAAATTTCCATGTTACCTGATTAAAGAACTTGGTTGTAAATGATATGCCATATTTTGATGGAATCATGGAAATGCCACGCTTCTTCCACCGATTGTGACAGTTGAATTCATCGACTTCTTCTCGAACCTTGAGAAATTCGCAAGATACTTTCAGCTCTTTCCAGACCTGAGCCAGAGTATAGTGTTCTAATTTCTGACCATAATGCATTATTGATCCTTCACCTTGAAGTTAATCTCCTGATACAGTTTCCAGTAATGATCCATGATATTGGTTTATTTTTTTAACAGTGGCATGATTGAGAGTAACAAAGTAACATAAATATAAAACTTAGCCTGATCTCTTCTGGACTCTTTTTGAGTTCTAAAGCAATTCTTTGAATCCAATTCTTAGCTATAAGCATACCTTGGGGAGAACCAAATCCTCAGAATGCAGTGTTAATTGGAAAATTAGTGAAGCAAACATTTCCAGAAATTCTGACATTTGGTATCTCATAGACATTGTCCGAGTGAAACATGGCACGCTCAAGTATCGTTGGGGACTGATCCAGTGAATTTCCAGCACTATTGTATATTTCAAGATCCAAAGCCAGCACTTTTCCCCTAGTTGTAAATCCAACCTGTATGAAGTAATTTTATT